ACACAAAATATTATTTATAAACAAAAAAAGATAAATTTTAATTTTAGAGTAGATACCGTATATGTGCATGACTATGCCTCTGTAATAATCTACAGTAATTTATTTAACTTCAAATACCAAAATCCACCATCAGTCTATCACCTTAAGTTTTGAGTCCTTCTCGCGATAAATCTTCAATAAAATTGCCATTGATATTGGATACCCTTCACTTTGCCGATTGATAAATTCCAATACCCTCACCCTGTATGATTTGATCACTCTCCTTCTGGTCTCTTTCTCTCTTTGCAGTGTTCATTGACATCTTTTCCAACATTTCCATGGTTGGGCCAATAACAACAAGCGAACAACATGCGAACCTCAAGGCTGTGTTTGCTGCTCTTCGGGCTCAACATGATTAGGATAGAAGATGACTTAAAATTGGGCCATTCTACGTAAGGTCCAAATCATGATTGGACATGCTCTATCTTTCCAAATCTAATATAAAGGGCCTATTAAGTACCACTTATAAACGAAAAATAAACAAAATGAACATGAAATGAAATTTGTTGATTTTTTACTGTTACAGGCTGGTAATATTTGATTATCTGATGTCAGTAATTGATATTTGAGATGCAAATATTAACTTTAAACAGAAAAATTCACAAAGAAAAGAACTCACAAGAGTTTGAATAACGATAGAATATGATTATTAGATTAAAAGGGATAAAAATTTATCACCAAGACTAAAAATTAAGGGATATAGAAACATCGCTCTATGAATTATAATTAAAAATACAGAACAAAAGAAGTTCACCACTTTAAAAAATCTACCTAAGAGATACAAAATTTGAAGAACAATATAAAAGATTGCTTAAGTATAAAGAAAACTCTAGTCTACATTCTACCAAAGAACAATAGAAAATATATAGGCTAAGAACATCCCTTTAAGCATGGAAACTTCTAGATTGCATTCCTAAAATCGTGCCTAAAATCATGTGATTTGTATGTAAACATAATCTGTCCATTTACTCCTGAACTTGATTACAATCTCATTCATATTCATGATCTTCTTTTCCAGTTAGTGTGAACGTAATCTTCCTATAGCAGCCCATCTTATTTCTTCATTTATTTAGTGGATTTTGACTAAAGATAGGCCTATCTTATTTTTAAATAAATCTGTCTTAGTCTCAACCCAAGTTGTATATTGTGCAGATACTTCGGTGTCAATATCTTCTAGTTAAAAAATACTTGTCATCAAGTTTGAACTAGCATTATCTCCGTGATAAGATGATAAATCAGCAACATTGAAAGTGAAAAATACTTCAATAAGTGTCAGAAAGCTCTATCTTGTAAGTATTTTCTTCAATGTGTTGGAGAACTCTAAATGAATCATTTACCTTAAGTTGTAATTTGCCAAACTTTTTTAAAGAAAATTTATCTTTCTAAAAGTTAATCCACACCAAATTATCTTTTCTGAACTTCACATGTCTTCGATGCATGATTATTGCCTTTTTATATTTCTTATTTTTCTACAAAATTTCAATTCTGACTTGTTCATGCAATCGTTCAATACCCTTAGCCATTTCTTCATATACCACCTTAAAAGGATTACAACCGGTGATTTGGTTTGATGAACAGTTATAGGCAAACTTTATTTGAGGTAAAATAAGATCCTACTACTTGATAGTTTTTTCTATGAAAAAAAGAACCAAACACCTCTTGCTAAATTTTATTTCATTCTCTTTTTGCAACCAAGACAGCTTATATAGTTTATAATGATCCACTGCCTTAAAGCCTAATTTATGCACCATAAAAATAGAAATAACGTTTTCAAAACTTTCACTATCAATTATAAAATCACATACTTTATCATGAATAGTACTTTTAGCATGAAATTTATTCTTGTGCAACCAGTCTTTCTCTTTTACATGCATATCACTTATGCTGTATTATATAACAAGTGAAGATTCAATATCACCATAGGTATTCTTAACACATTGTTCAAGATCCCGGGGTACTTCAATAGGTTTTATTTTAGCATCTTCAAAATTTTCATCTTCAACCAATGTATTTATCTTGAAATTTAGATACTCAGAATAGATACACCTACCTCTTTGGCTTTTGAAGTCTCTTTGGGTTACGTGTTGATAGTACTAGTGTCACGGGTCGAGACTTAAGCTCCGAATCCATGTGGCTCCGAGACTCGGGCATCCACTCATCCGACGTCTCAGATCAGCCTAACCGCCACGGTTCACACCCTTGTGAGGTATTATCCGCTCTAGTCCCCCTGACCTCACGATTTTATCTTACAAAAGATACCTCACAAGACAGAGATGGTGTGAACCCTTATATACCCTAGTGACCTTTCTATTATGTTTGATGTGAGATTCAAGACTCCTCCTTACGTCCATAATATTCTCTCCCACCCAACCTCGTGACGTCCTCATCATGGAGGTTGGCCACCCTGCCTACCTCTCTCGATGTGCTTTGCGTGGATCGAACGGTTTAGGGTTGGTTCTGATACCATTTGTCACGCGTCAAGACTTAAGCTCCGAACTAGTGTGATTTCAAGACTCGGGCATCCACTCATCCGGTGTCTCAGATCAACCTAACCGTCACGGTTCACACTTTTGTGAGATATTGTTCGCTCTAACCCCCCTGACCTCACGATTTTATCTTACAAAAGGTGCCTCACAAGGCAGAGATGGTGTGAACCCTTATATACCCCAATGACCTTCCTATTATGTTCGATATGAGATTCAGGACTCTCCTTAGGTCCGTGACACTAGATTGTGGTTTGATGGGAATGGTTCATTCATTCTATAGAGGTAGATTTGAATAAGGTTTGGTAAAAACAATGGTCTTGAACATGCTTCCCATGTTAATGTATTTTTTCACCAAAAGATCTCTTTGCTTCAAGTTATGAAGCTTAAGGAAGATATCTTGTTGAAAGTTATTTGTGAGATACTTTCTTTTCAACTCTCTTTTCATCTTTTCCCAAGTTGTAATTTTTTTCTTGCCTTTTTCTTTCCATTTGCTTATTCAGATTTTTTCACTAAAATGATGTATGCTTTCTGAGTTTGATGGCCACTAGTTTCACCTTACGATGTTCAGGAACATCATGGTATTTAAATATGTGTTCCACCGTGTGCAGCCAATCTAAAAATTCTTTAGGTTGCACCTTGCCCTCGAACTTAAGAATTTCTATCTTTGGATTGAATATGCTAAGATGAAATTGATTTTTGTGTAAATAATCTCTAACTTATCGTGGGTGAGATAGAGTGCTATCATCAGAATCGCTAGTATTTCCATAGTATGAACTGGTTTTTCTTTCACCTTCTTCACTCCTCATTTGTTGCCTCCTTATTTCATCTCTCTCTTCTTGTATATGCAGTCGATGTTGTAGTTGAAATATCTATTATCGCATCTCTTCTATGAGGGCATCCTTTGGATCAACATTGGTAGTTGCTACAATGTTAGTATTGGTTTCAACCTTTTCTGCTGGTGCTTGACGACGACAACTTGTCATAGCTCTGATACCAATTTAATTCCGAAAATTGATGTTTGAGATGTAAATATTAACTGTAAACAAAAAAACTCACAAGGATTTGAATAACGATAGAATATGATTATTAGATCAAAAGAGATAAAAGTTCACTACCAAGACTAGAAACTAAAAGATATAGAAACACCACATTAAGAATTCTAATCAATGATACAAAACAAAAGAAATTCATCACTCTAGAAAATCCCCCAAAAAGATACAAAACTTAAATAACAGTCTAAAAGATTGCTTAAGTATAAAGAAAACGCTAATCTACTTTCTACCAAAGAATAATAGAAAATATATAGGATAGGAATATCCCTTTAAGCATGAAAACTTCTAGATTACATTCCTAGAATCGTGTCTAAAATCATGAGATTTATATATGAACATAATCTGTCAATTTACTCCATAACTTGACCACAATCTCATTCATATTTATGATATTCTTTTCAGTTAGTGTGAATTCAATCTTCCTGTTCCAGCCTACCTTGTTTCTTCATTTATTTAATGGATTTAAACAAAGGATAGGCTATCTTATTTCTGAATAAATTTGTCTTAGTCTCAACTCAAGTTGTATGTTATATAAACATTCTGGTGCCATTATCTTGTGAAAAAAAAAAAAACCAAGTGAAAGATATCGAAAAGTATCATATAAATTAAATTAGCCGTTTTGATACCCTTTTGGTTTGCATAGGTCTAAGAAATATGAATCGAGTTCAAGTGTCAAGAATTGATCCGAGCATTTTGTTTTCTCTACATTTTCCAAGATTGATATCATGATTCATCTCACTGAAATTACTTAGATATAGGCATAGAATTTGGGTCTGTTAAGAGACTAGGTACTGTTACTTGTCCAACTCAAATTATATGCATCTTTATTAGGTGCTGGATAATGAACCAAGGAATAAAGTAAAAAATAAAAGAGAATGACTTTCACAGTTTCATACAGGAATCCATATATTAGTTTTCTAGTTTGTAAGTCTGACAACATCATGATCTTCATCAAACAATTAATGAAATAGGATGAAGCTCAATTGATCAGATCAGAGACTGAAATGGAAAAATTTTCTCCCCAAGTACTTATAGTTAGATGCAGATCACAATTGCTTATATTATTTGCTCAACAAGGTATACAATGCTCTATCACAAATATTGCCATTGCTGGAGTCAAACCCTTCTATGATTTCTCCAAAAAGTTACTAATATTTGCAATCCACGCTTAAGAATTAGGAACTGGTCATTCTTTCTTTAGAATATCCGTTAAATTTTTTACAGAGAAAAATTGCCAGAAACAAACAAAAATTGAGAAAATTAAAAAAAAAAGTGGGGGGGGGGACAGTATGAAGTGGTAAATTGTGTTGTAATTAATTGGCCATCACCTTTTCAGTGTTAATTTCGTCGCTATTTCCTGCTTGTTTATTTAAAAACGGATACTCCCACGAAATCTCCCTAAATCTCTCTGAAAATGTCTCATGGTGCCTATGCCTAATTGAGGATCAATGTCAAATGATAGCATGAAATCAATGGATATGCACATGAGCTTCTACTGGGGTAATGATGTAACAGTTCTGTTCTCCGGGTGGCCTGAAAGCAATTCCGGCATGTATGTATTGGCGCTCCTCTTCGTTCTGCTGCTAGCCGCTGGTATTGAGGTTCTGTCTATGTTATCAGCAGTTGAACCTGGCACCAGGCAAATATTTGTAGCTTTCACTCATGCCAGTGTTTACTTTGTTCGAATGTGCTTTGCTTACATGTCCTACAATATTGGAATCTTCATAGCTGCCAAGCTGGCCATTCTATCGGGTTCTTCATCGTCAAGTTTCGTGCTTTGGCTAAGGACACCGAGCAGCGGTACGTCTCCCAACGGCATCCCTTCTAAAATTTGATAGTATTATAGTACTGATAGCGTTGCCCGAGCTTAACCTTTTCGAATACTTATGATATAAAGCTGAAGCTAAGAGATCAATTCAAGTTGTAATCCCCTGCTTTGTACAACAAACATATAATTAATTTGCTCATGCTTTGTCTGTCAAATCTTGTTCTTGCTGTAATGTCGTCTCTGATGGTTCACTTTGTAGGGTCCTTTATTATACTTTTATATGGATATGGATCTGATGAATAATTGTTCACTTAAAAAGATACCCATTGCAGAAAGGGTCACCCAAAAAAGATACGAGACTCGAGCAATGAAATTTTTTATTATGATTACCAGCTTGTTAAAATTAACAAACCGTGGGCTTGTAGTTTGGGAGGTGAACTATTGTATGTGGGCCTTTCCAGTACGGCAGCAAATTTTGACCCTTAAATGGTCAAGCAAGCGATTAGGGCTTCTTCCTCTCTTATTTCTCTAAACGCCCGCCCATCCCTCACCCACCCCACCCCCAACCCCCCCCCCCCCCAAAAAAAAAAAACAAAAAGGAGAACAAAACTTCCCGTGTTTTTTTTTTTTTTTGTCACAAATGGATCAACCATCACTACAAAGCATCCATGTAAAGCTCCTAGGTTTCGATCTCCTGTCTCTAACTCCCTCCATAACCAACTCATCCACTTTCTACCTCAAAGGTAACCCAATCTCACGCGCCGAAATCCTAGGTGTAATCACTTCCCGGGACCAGAAACCTAACAAATTCCTCAAATTCACGATAGATGATGGCACCGCCTCGGTCACTTGCATCCTCTGGCTCAACCAACTCAGTTCCCCTTATTTCTCCAAGCGCCAACCGGCAACAGTTCTAGTTATTTCCCACCTGGCGAAAAGCTTCGCCGCCGATGTCCAGATTGGGAAACTGGCTAGAGTTCGCGGCAGGATCACCAGGTATACAGGTGAGTTGCAGGTTACCGTTTCTGATGTTGTGATTGAAAGGGACCCCAATGCCGAGACCTTGCATTGGCTGGATTGCCTCAGCTTGGCTCGCCGCTGCTACGGCCGTTAGTTCAGGTAAAAATGAAAACCAAATTAAGTAAATTAGGTTATTCCTGACTTTGTTTGTATAGTAATTGTGAAAGCTTTGGCCTTGCAACCCTGTATTTCGTATGTATTAGGTTAAGCCTCATTGAGTCTAGAAGCTGTGAAAGATAATTTTTGGGTCTGTTGGTTTCAATCTAATGGCTTGTTAGTTGGCAGGATTTGATCCTTGAAACAGAATTCCATCTGATAATATTAACGTGAATTATCTTATGACTAATAAATTTTTAATATTACGTAATTTCATATTCAGGTTAGATTTTTTATTTAATATTAATTAATTTTGAATTAAATATTTAATATGGTATTAAAATTAAAATTATTTTTTATTTTTATTTTTTAATTTATCATATGAAAGTTTTTTTTTTTTATTTACACGAAGATTTATTAAAATAAATTATCTTATATTTAATAAATTTTTAATATTTTATAATTAAATTTTTTTATTTATTATCAATTGATTTTAAATTAAATATTTATAACGTAAAACTGTGATAAATGACAGCAAGAAACCTTTTGCTTTTCTTTTGTTATATCACTAATCAGGACTATAGTATAAAAAATTGCACTTGAAATTTGTATTATTTTCTGCAGCCAATGCAATGGATTAGACACGAACTATGTTCATAACAAGTTTTGGGTCCAGTCGACCATAGAATGTCAGAACATGGTAGGCCACAAGTTGTAAAACCAGCCCATCCGAGGTTCAATCAGGAGACTCACCCCTTTCTGATGATGACTCCTCACTGTTCTTCTGGTACAGAGCCTTCACATGCACAGTGGTAGCATCTAAAACCTACACAGTTCCACCAAAACATATCGAGATCTAAAGCTGATGGATATCCTAAGACAATCAATTATTTAGATAAGTAAACAAGTCAAACAGATGCAGCTCAGGGCAAAGTAAAATTTCAAATCTACTGTTTTGGTTGCTTCTCTCCTTATTTCTTCCCTGGGTTCAACTTTGAACCTCAAAACTTGATGCACTGAAGTCATCCTTACGAAAATTCAGAAACCTAACAACGATCAATGCATCAATTCTTGCACAACAAGGATTTAATATGGGCTTTGTTTTTATCTAAAACATGGGCCACATTAAAAAACCCAACAACCAATTGGGCCTAACTTTTCAATGGTATAAAAGGAAGGGGCTGAATTCTTCCTCTATAAATATATATATATATATATAATATGATTGTAAGTAGGGTGTAAATGATATTAGTACTCGCAAGCTACTCGGGTTCGATTCGAAAAAAACTCGAATTCGGTTCGATTATTGTCGAGTCGAGCTCGAGCTCGAGTAGCTCGACTTACCGATCGAGCCGAATTCGAGTATTCTTATATCTGACTCGAGTAGCTCGCGAGCCTAATCGAGCTTTTATATTTAAATATATTTTTATTTTTTTTAATTAATAAAATATTTCGAATCCGAGTTCGAGTTCGAACATGAATAATCGAACTCTTGTCGAGTATACGAATCGAGCTTATTTTTACATATTAATCGAGCTTAATCGAGCGAGCTCGAATAGCTCAAATTCGATCACGAATCGAGTTCGAGCTTAAAAAATAAAACTCGATCGAGCTCGAGCCGAGTATCGAGCCCGGAGTTGTGAGTCGAGCTCGAGCTCGAGCTTCTCATTACTCGGCTCGGCTCGGCTCGTTTACAGCCCTAATTGTAAGTATAACAAATTTTGTATTGACATTTTTTTTTCTCCGACGATTTTAAAAATACACTTTTTCATTTGGATTTATTAAGAATTTTTTAGTACAAGTATCAGATTTTTTTCTTGTTGAAAATATAAAGAAAATCATCTGAATTAGATTTCTCGTTTCAAGGACTTCATTCCCCAACTTAATTGGCAAGATAACAAAACATGAAAATTTAAGTAGTTGACACTAGCATCAGATTAATGGTAATTTTTATTTTTATAAAAAATTTACTTAACATGCACTTAATGGAATGCTTATGTAAGCCTGCCCAACCCAACCCATGTTCTATTTAAGGAAACAAAGCAGTACACTAATATTAAGCTTTCATTGTTGTTGAAAGGTTCAATTCATACTTAACTACCACTAATAACCTATCCATCAAACATCACCATACTGCATTATTTTCCATTAAGGGTTTTATATTTTTTGTCTATGCTCTGTTTTTAATCTATTTCGAACAACTCCCAAAAAACAGGTTTGGTTGGTTGAGCAACCATTGAATTTTTAAGAGGTGGTCCCGGCTTGATTCTCTTGCACACAAATATTTTCATGGAAAATTTTTAACATGTTCTTATTATAAAAGAAAATGAATAGGAATTGCAATTGCAATTGCTGGATCCGAAATTCAAACCTGCCAGAAACTATTTCGATGAGTTATTTTTAATATATTTTTAAGATACTATAGTTGAATACCAAATTCCTTAGCCATTAGACTTGCAACCAAATGGAAGAAAATGGTTGAGCTGGCAAGAAAAATAAATCAGGGAACGCTTCTCCCACAAAGTTCCAAACAAGTTTAACGGAAAGGAAGTCCAAGTGCTAACTGCGAAAACCCAAATTCAAGGCTGTAATAGAGTTTCACATTGGGAAAACGACGTTTGAATTCACCACTGGCTCATAAGTCAAAACCACACATTTAATGAATCTCCAATACTCCAAAAGCAAGCGGTGGAATCTTACTATTAAATGTATGGTTAAAAAATAAAGAAATAACTATTCAAGCAAGCATGTTACTGGCATGAATGGTCGAAATGAGTAACAATTAACTTCACTATGCTAGATATTTTGTGTTCTAAAATCTGTTTTAGAGTATTACGATCATAAATCTTCTACAGTATCATAACCTGACCGTTTACAACCTATACATATGGGGTTGGTTTCTGTTCCATCCGCTGATTCAACCCTTAGTCCGACAGCAATACCTTTGCTAATGTAATAGCTTTACGGCAGAGAATGATTCAAAATCAAATTCATTACTTTTCAGAGAAACGAATAGGGGTTGTACCGGTTGAGATTGAGAATCCTTGAAATAGTTGCCCAATTAATTTTAGAAACTGTTTTGATGGGTGGCTATTGCTTTTAGCGAGGAATAGATAGGTAGGATGTAAAAGCAAAATTTGTACCAAGATTTCATAAACAGTGGTATGTACAACCTTTTTCCCATAAAACATTATTGATAAAAGGTATGGATGAACGGTCGTCATTGCCTTCTGCTATGAAGAAAATATATGCAGAACAAGAATGAAAAGATATTATGTTGGGATTTCCCAATCAAAATCTGGTACGATTCCATATCAATAATCGACGCCAAAAATTATGATAGAACAGGAAAATTGGGACACGAAAAATATGAAAGGAAACCTATAAATTTAGGGGCGTAGCAGAAATTCTGGACGACGTCAAAAGACAAACAAACCCCACAACATGTTAACATAGTCAACATAACACACACACACACATGCTAAAGAACCAGCAATACTCTATCACCACCGCCACTAAGGACACAAGACGTCAACCGACCTAAAACACACGAACACGCGCAATGTACGTGGACTTGTGTGCGTGAAAAATCCGGCGTGTAAAAGTAGTGCGCACCATGTGGGTTGAGCTACGAATGTGAATGACTGGGGACGTGGTCGAGATTGAGATGGGTGAAAGCAAAGAGAAAAGATCTCTCCTCCTCTCAATAAAGAGATTAAAAGATATGGAAAGATTGCAAAGGGGAGAAGCTGAGAAGGTAACCTTAACGTTTGACACGTGTAACAGTAACCTTATGCTTTGCTCCACTGGCATACTCACCAAAAGCTACCCCACCCTCCAACACTGCCAATTTTATGCATGCTTCCTGCCGAAGGAAAATTCATCATTTTTAGTTTCTACCGTCAAAACCAAAAACCATTTCAGTTTCATTTTTCTTCTTAATTAATCATTTGCGTATTTTTTTAATTAAATTAAAAAATACTGATTTGCTCTGTAGACTGTGAAAATCCAGCTGCCGGACATTGGGGAAAGCAATAGATCCTTGTAATAGTTGACAAAATTCCACCTTCCTAGACATTATTAATACATTAGCCAGATAAATTTATCAAACATGCAATGCATTAAGAACTTAAACCATTGTTCAAAAAATGCACGTTGCTCAAGAATGAAAGAATCAGCTAAGAAAACATTAGAGTGTACACCTCTTAAGTAATTTTCAATTGTGCTTTGACCTCGTATTGGATTATTTTTATATTGTAAAGAAAAATATAATTTCCTTGCACCGTAAACTATAAAACAAAATTTTGAGAAGATGGGAAAAGTTAGAGAGCAGAGGAGAGAGTAAATACATATGACAAATCACATTCCCTTTATTACTTACTTTCCAGGAAATTGGATGGGTGGGGAACAGGCTGGAAGGGGAGAAAATTCTACGAGCAACAAGCTCAGAAAGAGAATGATAATAAAGTTAGTAGTGTAACAGGACCACACCCATGTGCTAGAGGAGTATCGTGTTCTCTTTTCATGTTCTGCAAAAGACGGGGAAGGGGGATATTTTAACCCCAATAACCATTTCATTTCATTCTCAACAAAATTCAGTAACTTATTATTCACTCTGAAATTCATATTACAAACGAGTAACCCCTTCGAATATTTCCCACAAACTTACTGTTTTTCCCCAGCCCAACCAAATTGAACAAAACCTGCTGGCTGTGCTGTATCCCATCAGTTTTCCTGACACTAGAAATTCTTTATTTTCATCTAACCTAACCCAAAAAACCATTTCATTTTCATCTTCTTAAAAACCACATTGTCTTTCTTAAACCTATACCTCTATACTACACTACTATTTTCCCTCTACCAACTTCCCTTTTTCTTTCTTCTTTCTAAAGCTTAAAATTCCTTCCCATTTCATGGAACTCCCAAAAAAGAAAATTATAAAAAACCAACAGACATTAGTCAACCAACAGACACAAAGGTGAGTCAATATGTCCACTCCTGAGGTAACCGGACCTCATGGTAGATTCCTTTCCGTGGCATAAAATTGCCCTGCTTCTGATTTGCAAAGTCATTCCCACCACTTCGAAGCCTCAAAGCAGCATCTACAAATATAAACCAAAGCCAAAAACCAATTAACAATACAGTAATTTTGAAAGTAGAATATCAAATTAGATTGCCAAAAATCATCTTACCACTATCAGCAGTGACAATTGCGTTAAACCGAGGATGATGCTGGGGTTGAGCACTAATCTCATCAAGATTCAAGTTCAAGGACTGAACCACTCTAGCTGGAAGCAAAACAGTAGAACAAGCTGCCAAAATAACAAAGATAAAACAAAAAAATTCAGATCTAGGAACATCAAAGAAAGCAATACATTTTAAAAAAAGCAAGAAAATTGTTATGGACCTGGCTTCTTGCGGGGTTCAGGAGTACCAATACGCCGAGGCAAGAAAACACCAGTTCCAGCACATTCCCTTTTAACAGTTGGGTTGCCCAAGAAAACAGCCCGCATACCCGACCCATTTTGCGGCTGGGATTGCTGCTGCAGAGGGGGCCATGCAGATGGGGACAAACTCAAAGGCCTATTAGTATTACTATTCTTCCCTCTGTTTTGGACCACATGGTGCTGCTGCTGATGCAGTCCTCCCCAAACCGATGGGTTTTGTTGTTTCATTAGCTGTTTTTGCTTCATTTGCAGAAACTGCAACATAAAGAAAAAAAAAAGCCAATTAAAAACCTGCAGAGGAAAAAATCAGAACAAAGGAATTTTAGCTATGTTTTGACGTTTTTACTTGAGTGGCCTGCAACTTCTGATTAGAAAGAGACTGTTGAGGAGGGTAAAAGCCAGAAACATCGTGAATTGGTGAGGGTTTTCCGGCTGGTTGACCCAAAAGGCCTCTGTTGTTGAATCCACTGCATGATTCTTCATTCATTCGCACCCCTGATACTTCACCAGCCCCCGCATACAGCAGAACCCATGTTCCTGGCGGTGATGAAACTCGAGATTGACAGTTTGGGCTTCCATGGCTAGACCCATGCTTGCAACCGCAACCTCTCCTAAATGCACATAGGGTCGATTCCGGGGAACCGCACAAGACCCAATCCTAAAAACCAAAACAAAAAATAAAGCATGAATAAGAATATAATCCTTGAAGCAAAAACTTATTGGAGAACTTTTGTGCTTAGTTCTTTTAACAGACCTTGGAGTTTTCAGAGGCAAACGAGCGGTCATTTCGGCGAAAATCATCTTTGAGACTAGAGCGAGCCATTTGACGAGTTAACCCAGCGAAGTAATCTTCTTCGTCACTCTCTGTTTCGGTAGAACCCACCACGGACTCAACCGGAGAACTTACATCCGAAGAGAACCCAAAAGACCCAAACCCAGAAGGGAGTTCGTAGGGAAAACAAGACTTAGAACCATCAAACTCAAATCCAAAGCCATCTTTGAGATTCCCGGGACCGTTCTTAGCTTTACTCTTGTCCATGCACAAGTCATCGTCAGTTAAAAACTGAGGCGGAAGCCAAAATTCACCGTCGTCTAAAGCCTCCGCCATGAGAAAGAAGGAAACTAGAGAGTAACAAGGAAAAAAAATTAGGCAAGGGAAGGGGGGATTTGATGAGGGCAGTCATGGGTGGTTTGCTGCGTGGTTAAGATTTAATAATAAGTAGTTGCATACCCCTGCTGGTTTTGCTGGCCCTGGCAGAGTACGGGGCCCATGCAAAGGAAAAAAGCGAAAAATATTAAACCAAAGCCTTGATTCTGAATTTTTTTTTAATAATTAACTCAGTGTCACGACAAAGAGAGTAGTAACTGTCCACAACAAGCGAGCAAGAGAGGAGAGAGAGGGGAAAATTGTAAATTTGTATTTCTAGTGATAAAAAGAAAGGCTCAGTCTTCCACGAGCTCACAGTTGAAGGTGACTAACACGCACCTACCATAGTGTGGGGTCCGTGGAGGAGTTGGAGCCAGGTAAGTTTGTAGAGAGTGGAGCAAACTGGGGCCAATTGAAATACAGACCGCACTTGGGCAGCATGTGACCGGCGTCAGGGGCCAAATTTTTTTTCCTATCTTGGTTAGATTTTAAGCAAATCTTTTTCTTATTCTGAAGTTTATTTATTGGAAGCTAAACCAAAAAAACAATCACAAATTCACAAGTTTTTAACGCCCTTAGACATGACGTGAGGGCCATGGTTCATCTGCATAGCAGACATTTGCCCTGCCTATGCTGTCCACTTGGCAATCCAGGGACACAACACAATCCTTTGCACTTAAGTTATTTGATTTAATTTAAATTATTTTACAACTACAATTTTCTTAGATTTTGTTTACTCATATGCCCTTAAGAATTATTTTATTGACCTAGTTCACGTGACGGGCAATAATTTCACTACAATCTTGTCTGGACTGAATTCTGAAAACCCTTTCGACAATTCGATCGCTATTCCTATTTGGTACATGAGAAAGTGACATGGACGTATCCATTTTCAGATTTTTTTTATGAGAAATGCGAGGTGGTTAGATTGTTTAATTTTTTATATCATAATAAAATATATTATATTTAATAATTTAAAAATAAATAATTAGAAATTATGTATTATTATTATTTTAATTTTTATTAAAAAAAATAAAATTTAACTAATTAATTAATTAATTATTGATATTTTTATATTTTCACTTAAAATTTATGATTTAATTCAGAGATATAATCGATTGAGTTCAAGTTAATATAAAAATAAATTTGAATTTGAATTTGATTTAAAATTTGATACTCGAAATTCAACTCAAACTCAAGTTCGACTTGAGATAAAAATTCAGTTATTCAAATTCGCTCAATTAACATATAAAAATAAGTTCAATTTTTATATTCGATAAAAATTTAATTATTTATATTCAAATTTGATATATTTTATTAATTAAAATAATAAAAAATATATTTAAATATAAAATTTTTGATTAAATTCGTTAATTATTCGAATTATATATAAAAATATTCAAACTCAACTCAATCGATGAATTAAATTATTTAAATTTAAATTTAATTTAATAATAATTGAATCAAATTTAAATTTTATTTAAATTAAATCTAAATAATTTATAAATATTAATATATCATTTATACGTTTAATCATATCAACTTGGGGTGCAACAGAAAATCTTTAGCACACCAGTTTAGACAAATTGGTGTAACAACAAGCTTATCGCCTATAGGTCTATCAGGCTTAACGCCCAGGCCATTGCTCTAGGTTATCCCTGTTTCTCTTTGTGATATGTTGTTTTTATGAATGGCAAAAAGAGGATAACAATTTTTTGTTTTCCTAATTGTCTTTGATTCTGCAAAGTTTAATTAGGTTGTTTCCAGCTGTTCATTAAATATATGCCATGCTAAGGTTTTGTCGGTTGTCATTAAAACACAATAGCAATGTTTGCCACTTGCTACTTGTGTCTTGGTCAATGCAACCATTTTTATTTTTTATTTTTCTTCCGGTAATGTAACTCCTTTGTGATTTTTTTTAAATGATATAAATGCACGGTAAGTATGTAAGTTTTGTTTGGGAACTATCCAATTTTGTGTTGCAAATGGAGACTTCTTTCTTAGGTAATGTATTAGTGTATTTGTGTTTTTTTATTTTTTGTATAATAAATTTATATTTAAGATTATATATATTGTTAATGAATTACACTCATTTGTGAATAAATATATAAAAATTAATATTTTTAAAAAATTTTATTTATTAATAAAGTGACATCATTTTATTTATTTTATTAATAAAGTATTGATGTATGATTTATTTATAATATATAAAATTTGTATATTAAAAATAAGTATAAACTCATAATATATATATATATATAAAATATAAAAATTATAATAACGTAAATTATATTGATATATTAGATATAAAATATTTTTTAATTATTATCAATTTTATTTATAATTTTATTAAAAATTTAAATTATATTATTTTTACATCTTATATTATGTTAAAATGATCAAATTTATGATTTATTAGCCTAATTTTATGATTTGACCCTTTTCTTTGTTACGTGATCCTTCAGCCAACGAATATGCAAATACACAATGCTTATGCTTAACGGGGAAGGAACCTAGAGAATTAAAAAACAAATGTTTGCTTTGGAATTGTTTGGTTGAAGAATAAAATGGAAAAAGAAGATGACGTGTCGGACATGCGTCGGTCAAACCTTTAAGTTTTTTCTTTTTCGCTTCCTCCGTTCGTTTTAAGTTTAACGTGCGTCTTTGTATGTGCGCATCATTACGGCGTGTCCTTTTTCCACGTCCCTATTTACTGGCGTTGGACGGCGCCCCTCTAGTGGACGCAACACCCTTTCATCAATTCTATTTCATAACCCTTTTTCAAATCCATCCCCCATAAATTATAAAAAGAAATTTATGGTAGGGACTTGCTTACTTGCGGAAAGGAACAACGCATAGGACTGCTCAGCCTTTTAAACAGAAGCCGCACATTTCAATCTAGATCAATCTTCGAGCTCCACATGCTTGCTGCCACTACCGTTTGTTACCTGACAACAATACAGAATCAAGCGTTCGTGACCTTTCCTCGGGAAGATAGCGCGTGATGGTTAATTTTTCAATTGGGTCGGCGTGTCAGACCAGGATGATTTTCTTTTGTTTCCACAATCCCCATTTGATTAAGAAAATTTATCAAAACTAAAAAAACAAAAAGGTAATTTGCTTAAACCGTTATTAACATTTTCTTTGAATAATAATAAAATTAAAACTTAGCGATTCAATAAGTTAAAATCTATTATTTTTAGAGAACAAATTTTATATTCGAGTCTTATCAATAATTATTTATTAAATTATTTTAAATATATAATTTATAATTATTTATTTTAAATTGTTAAATATAATATAGTTTATTTTAAGAGATTAAATAATTTATTTATATTTAAATTTTTTCTTACAAAAAAATATATAATTAGAACTTTCCCACCGAAAAACGTTGTTTTCTTAATTGAAGTAGCAATTTAGTATTTCTCTTTCGACTGATCCTGTCCATCATCACGAGTTTGATTCTTTGTTTCTCAAAGGTAATGACAATCTGATAAGAGGTGATTTGGACAGAGCGGACCATACATTTCACGAAAATATCTGTCCCTTTTAAGTCTGATTCATGTTTTAACATGCTTACTTCGTGAAATTAAAAGCGTAAGCTTGTTAAATTAAGATTAAATTATTTTTTAATTTCAAAAAATTTTCGTGAATTTTTAAAACTGATAGCTTGTTCAATATCTGATTCATGTTTGAACTTGGTCCTTCATACATCTTAATTTCACGAACAACAAAAATAAAAGCATAAGCTTATTAATTAAGATTACTTTTTTTTTTTTATTAACAAATTTACAAGCTTATTTGATTTCTGGTCTAAATTGATTTTAAAAACAATAAATTAAATAAAATTAAAATTAAAATTTTAATATTTTATCAATAAATTACTTAGTTATTAATTATTTCCATTTTTTTTACTTTTTTTAATTACTGACAAAGAATATATTAGTTGATCAATTAATAAAAGTATATATGAAATATGCACACAAAAAACTTGTACTATAAAAATGAGGGGAAAAAATCTGGAATTAATTGGGCCGTGCAATTTACATTTGTATAAATAAATAAATAGCTGTCAACTGCTACACAATCCTAACGGTTTAAATTCATTTATTGTTTGGGATGATAGCAGTAAATATTGTTTGATATCAAAATTAGTATTGTCCTGTTTATCATGAAGAGGAAATGAAAAAAGAAGATCGTTTTCATGGCATCCTCATAATGGTAACACACTAATGGCATGTGGTCGGGTTATGCTGCTCCAACGAACAGGACCCACTAATAACTCTATTTGTTTAATCCACATCAAGGCTGCCCCAAAGATGGTAGAGCAAACGATATGGTTTACAAATGAAATGAATGCCTTACTCTTGCTCCAATTACATATTTGTCCATTTTTAAATAAAAATAATTATAAATATGTTCATGATTTTATTTTCAAAAGCAAGATAGATAAAAAAAAAAGGATTCTTCTCTTATCAATCGGATTATTTTTTATCACTTTTTTAATTTTTTAATCAAATTTCAACCTCCATCTTATTTTGTTAACTATTCTTCACAATTAACTTGGTTGCATGTTGATTAATTTCTACCGTTCATAAAATAATTTGTAATAAAGATTCCAAGAAAAAAAAAAAACAATGGGTTTAGTTTAAACTTGAATTCAAGTCTCTTAAATAAAATATGATAAAATTAATTATATAAAGGATCATGCAAAATGGGAGAAATAAAAGCAAATGTCTTTTTCACGAGCCTGATTTTGTAACGTGACACTAATAATTTGTAAAACATGGTATATTATAATATAATTGAAGCCGTGAGTGGTGGTAAGTGAGATGGGGCTTTCAATGAGAGGGCATGTAATAATCCTAATTATTTATGGATTTTTCATGAGTGACCCTTAAGCTTGTTTTTTTTTGTTTTTCAACTCTGGACATGTAAAGGTGGGTCACCTTTTATACTCAATAACTCGCTCAAACTTGTTTTGTATCCTAAGATTTTATTCTTTAACTTCATACCTTTTTCTTAATAAAAAATTTTATTTGTCACTTTTTAAATTTAGGTAAGTCCAACTCCTATAATTACAATATATAATTATTCTCTTATATAATATAATATAATATTATATTAAATAATAACATGGTACTCTGATTAGTCCAATGCTTGTCATAAAGGAAATATATATCGGTAGGTCCCAATCCTTCACGTGCTTGGAGAGAATTAATGCAATTAAGGGATGGAAGCAAAATAATGAGCAGCTGCTCAATCCTAGCACAACCATCGACCCTAAGGCTATAGTCAAATAAAGCTTTTACCTTTGAGTACACTGGTAAATCATGGGTATTTTTAACCAAAATGCATCAATCCAAAATATTAGTGGCTGCATTTAGAAATAGTAGCCCAATCTCAATGCGAAGAGTATCGATTCGATCTAATTTTATAAAATAAATAAAAATTAATTAAGTTTTAAATTAAGTTTGATAATAGTTAAAAAAAAAGATTGGAGTTCGATTAAAAAAAAAAAGGTTAGAGTTTGATTTTTGATAAATTTATTTTGATGCAACATGATATATATATTTAAAATTTTTATTTAATATTATATAATTTTTATATTTATATTAAAATAATAATTTATATTAAAAATTAAAAATTTTATATTTAAAATAATACTTTATTAATTTAAGGGTCACGTCAAATATAATTTTATATAACATTAGGTCAATTCGAATTTGAGTATTTAAAAAAAAAAAAGATAAAATTGAATTTGAAGAAAGCACAAACTTGTCTCGACTTGATCCATTACTATCTTTAATTACTTTGCAATCTCGATGATTAATAATGCATGTAAGTATACTGTTATTAGACCATACAACTTTTGTAGGTGAACCATCACATTTAAAAAAATAATTTATTTTTGCTTGACGAAATTAATTCATGAGTTTGTCCTAATTATAATATCATCAATTTAAACAAATATCACCAGATAATTCAATAGTATTAAAATTAATTTTAAAATTAAAGGTTTCAATTTAAATTCTAATATTAACTAACAGAAACAAAAAATTTAACAAACACCATAATTAGCAGATTGATCAAACAAAATCGTAGAAAGTTGAAAAGAATAAGATTATGCATTAAAAATTTTCAAAAAGGATAGGATAAGATAGGTTATTGGCGGTGCAAAAGGATGGCAACCCCTATAGAAAAGATTAATCAATCAAAGAAGAATAGAAGACACCTTTGCCACTTCATTTTTTCTTTAATTAAAGGTATATAATACACCAAGCTTACCTTTTCTTTAAACTTTTTTCCCACGAATTCTTAGTGTTGCGAAGATCCTGATTCCCTTTTACTCTTTCGGTTTTCATACTCGTATCCACGTATTCATATGCATCATATCTTTATTAAAGAAATTTTAAAGATTGAGCTGGTGATCTTCCCCAAAGTCCAAACACAATTTCTACTTTTTTTTTTTTTTTGGTAGGAGTGTTTCATAAATTATAAAGATTTCGTATTCAAATTTCTTAATATGTTTTATGTTAGAATTGAATTAGTAGTCCAAATTGAATCTTTTGGTTACTGTGGTGTATCATAGGACCAAATTGCTGTGGGCAGAAATTGCACATGGAGATCTAATAAATTTGGACTCTTTTCGTTCATTTTATGAAAAGTCACTTGATCTTATCACTAATTAAATTATCTTTTTCCTAGCTCCACGTGCATTCGTGCATGTTTTAAGCCTTTAAAAAATAGAAAATCAAAAGACACCGTCTTTTGATTGTAAAAGCTAAAGGGAACGTAGCAAGAAGTAATTTCACGTGCCAACTGGCCTATACAATGATGAATAAGTGTTGATGCAAGTTTAAGTATAGGGGTATAAATGAATAAAATTTTTTATAAATTATTCGTGAATATATTTGATTTTTGTTCATTTATTAAGTTTAACAAATGATTTTTAATATTATTTGTGTATTCATTTATTAAACAAATCGAACATGAACATCTGTTTGTTCATTCATTTTTGTTCACGAATAAACTTGTTTAAGGTTCGTTTAAAACTCGTTTATTTATTATTTGTTTGCTATTCATTTGCTATTTGTTTATAATAATATTAATAAAATTATATTTTTATCATTTACCTTAATTCTATTTTAAAGTTTATTTATATTTGTTTGGGTTCGTTTATGTTCATTTAAAGTTTATTTGTTTAAATTTATTTGATTATAATTTATTTATTATTTATGAATTATTCATTTATATATATGTTCATAAACATGTGCATGAATATGCTAGTTTAATATTCACAAACGAACTCGTTTAGCTTAATTAAACGAATACGAATCGAATATGAATAATCTATTATTTAAACGAACGAACATAAACGAATAAAATAAATTTCTTAACAAATATGAACCGAACATGAACACCTTTAAAAACAAATGAGCAAACAAATATATGTTCGTTTATTCATATTCGGTTCATTTGTAATCTTATTTAAATCTAATTAAAGAATTGTATGTGTACAAGTTGAAAAATGTTTTTTTTAATAAAAAAAATTATAGCTACAAATATTGAAATTTGAATATAAAAACTATTAAATATTATATTTTTAAAAATAATTATATAAATTAATTAAATTAAATTTTGTATTCAAATATCGCACGTATTCAAAGCTTTTATCCATGTAAAGATTCCTAAAATAAGCTAGTATTTTATTTTCCACCGTTATATTATCAAATGGGAAACACTGATATGACATTCCATGAATTAGTTTTCCTGTAATTGACATTCCATATTTGTTACTTTTTCGGTATGACAATTGGCAAGTTGTAAGACTTTTTTGTTTCCACTGCCTAATATCAATATATTTTGTATCGTAATTGGAACAGGGAGCTTAAATTTATGGCCCTTTCTAAATTTTAAGACACCAGGAAAGAAAAGCAAGAAAATAATATACGTGATATAATCCAACACACTAAATCCATAAGCAGCAGAGTAAAATATTTATGTTGTTGGGCACTTGGGCTTTTGGCAGATTTTGAGGAAAATGTTAAGCAACAAAGCACCACCAAATAGAAAACAAAACGTTGTTAACAAAAAAGGGCCGGTTTAAATGCAGTGACTGGCGCGTGTAGGAGACCAGCTGTATAACTCAAAGCCAAAACATGTCTGATTATTGGCAATCATTAATCAGAAATAATTAACAGCAAAATGAGTTGGATAATGCATCCGAAAGGTTTTCCAAGGCATGGAGAGAGGAGAATATCGAGGAACATGTCACCTTGATTAGCGGCGGGGAAGAATGGGATTATTATTTTTTTTTTTTGAAGCTCGTCATTTTCCTTTTATTTTAGTGGGAATGTCTCACTGTCCACAGAAACTCTTGGGGGATTCTTTTAGTCGAAACTTTGACCATCGGTCTCCTCCGTTAGGCAATTGCAGCTACCCCTTTGACTAACCAAAAGCACACAAATCTGTAGCACTTCACCAAATCTGCTGATTAAGTGGAAAACAGAAGAAGAATCCAGCTTAATTGTTAAAAAAGATGGATAATTCCCTGCTTTATCCATTTTAATAATAGAATCATCAAAATCTAATGGTGGGGTACATTCCATATGATGCAAAATGGGGCCAAGGATCAAAGTTTGTTACCAAACCTTAGTATAATCATTAGAAATAGTAATTAATATCAACAAATAATTATGCTGAGTCTCTCAGTTCTACTGCAGATGATAATGACAGTGATACATGCATTACTCTCGCCAGGTTTAAATAACTGCAGATATTTTTTAGTGGGGGGAAGGATTGAATTTTCACCATTGAATTAATAGATTTTTCATAGTCACCCCTTTCTCTTCTTCCTATCAAATTTAAGTCTTCGTTTTCTATTGGGCAAAGCTTCAGATTGCGTTTTCAATGTGTCATTATTTGGTATCAACACTCGTTGAATTGTCCCGTAAAATTTGTTGATGCACAACTGCAAGTCGAATGATATTTTTGGGCTTCGTTATGAAAATTGGACACCCGAGAGAGAATCCAAGAATGATTTATTGAAAACTCGAACTTATACATGGAAGGCTTGTCCGGGACTGGGATTATAGCCGTCTTGTTGTCAAAGCAAACCTTGCACGGAAGACTAGATTGTTAAACAAATCACTACGGCCCAAGAACCAATCTTTTGATCCGTTTTCTATCCCAGGAATTGGGCAGAAAATCTCATTCTATGGGGCTAAGGCCTGGCCCCTGGCTCATTGGAGCCTGATGCTAAAGGCACGAAAGCAGGCCCAAGGGTATTCCTCGGCTTCTTCAACCAGCTAACTTGGGTCAGATTCTTGATCGTTGTTCTGATCCTTTACCCAGGCATTGAACACTATGACTTCAAAGGGAAAATATGTAGTATTATATTATTTTTATTTCCTTCAGATGAGGCATGAAAATGACAGCTTTGGCTAGGTAAGGTTCGAAGCAGCTTCATGCCATCCCAAACTTGATCGATCTAATTATTAGGATGTCATTCAGCAATAGAAACTTGACTTGTTTAAAATATAGGAAATAGGCCAAAAATTTGCTTGTTATGACAACCCAAATAATTGAAAACTGCCTAGCTACAAATAAACTTTAAACAAGTCAACAATCTTAGCAATTAATTAAAGAAGCCTAGTAAACGAAGATATATCAATCATAAAAGTTACGTTTCCAAAGAATAAATTTTAGTAACTTGTCTAGTCTGCTAGCCCTCAAAAAATCCAAGCAATTTACTGTAGCACATTGAACAAAAATTTTAACGTCTATGGGCTTCTTTTCATAGTGTGCTCATTTGATTAATTTGTTCTATTTGAAGGAAGGGCGAACTTTTTTTTCCTTCAAAATCCCACTACTGACCCCCCTTGCAATTCTTCTACCGGCCTGAGTTACACGGTTGTATTGGTCTTCAATAATTGATAAATAAAGGCAAATATTAGAGACACTGGACAGATACAGACGAATATCTTAATCACATGGAAAACCCAGAGACAAAAGTATGATTTTGAATACAAACACACACATGCACAATAAACGGAGAGGTTACAGCACAAAATTAAAGCGAAAAACTAGATGGAAAATCGTTGCATTGTATAAATTCATCTGGAAAATCGTTGATTTGGAATAGCATTAATCTGTCCATCCCTTGCCAGATAGCCAGTTTTTCACGAAGGCAATTAGTTTATCTCTAGGAGGCAGGTGTTCCTTGACAACACTGCAGCTTACAAACTCGTCACACCATTTGATCAACACTGGGCATTTGTCTGCTGTCAGAAACTCTAGTCCTGAAACTTCTTGAATGACCCTAAGCCACAAGGCGATGAAGTTGGCAGCAATGTCAAGCAGTCCAATTGTCTCTCCTCCAAAGAATTTCGTTCCATTGAGCACACTTTCATGTGTTTTCAGACACTCTCTTACCTCTTCCATGGCCTTCTCTCGCTCATCCCTGGTGCCCAAAAGAGCTTTCCACACTGGAGGCATGCACTGAAATACAAGCACAGGGAAATAAGAAACCCAACAATCCAGATTCACTATAGAGATTTTGAGGTTTATTATCTCCCACTTATTAAAATTAAAAGAGCCTTTCCTGATAAGTGAACCTTACCTTCTCATCTATGAAGTTGGCCCAGAAACAAGCCAGGGCTCTTTCATGAGGATCTTCAGGCAAAATGGGATTTGGTTTCCAAGTTTCATCAATGTATTCCAGAATAATTAGAGACTCCAGTATTGGTTTTCCACTGTGCAGGAGCACAGGAACTTTCTTGTGAACTGGATCGTATTTTAGAAGCAAAGGACTTTTAAACTTGTCATCAATCACATTCTCTTCTATGTATTCGAAAGGACTACCTTTTAGTTCCAAAGCAATCTCCACTCTACGGCTAAAAGGGCTCCCCCACGCTCCAAACAGCTTCACTTCTTCAGCCATGATGGTGCTTTGCACTTCTTCTGCATTTGAAGAGGATTGCTGTTCTTTGATCCTCCTTATCTACTGCATGCCGATTACCTTTTGCTTTCCTTATTGTTTTTGTTTATATCGTTGAGAGTAGAAACTTTAAGCAATGAATATATAAAATACAAATCAATGGAGGCAGCGCAGGAGTGGTTGTGAACATAAAATAAAGTTCGATTCTTCTGAATATATAAAATCGTAAACTACATGTACTGTGTTAACAGAACAAATTAATTAATGCAGCTTATGAATTTCCCAATTAAAAATGGATCTAAAAAAATTCAGTGTCATGTGGGGAAGATGGTGCGTTAGCTTCAAGCCGAGAATGAATGAATGGTATATAAAAATATTTTATGACATTCAGGGACGTTAATTTGTAGGTGAGTTGGCGATGTATATCGACCAGGCTCGTTCAAAGCAGACCAGAATCCAAAATCCCAACCTGGGCTTTTTTTGTAGTCATGGGCTTTTATTTCCAATGACAAATGGAGCTCTTACTGGCTATAGAACCCATGGATAGGCCGTTGGACGGCATCCACATTTGGGCTAATCAGAAACCTATGATTTTTCTTTTTCTTTTTCTCGCAGATCATAAACCCAAGCGTAAGCCTTTTACATGGAAACCCCAGTTTTTGATTCAAAAGGATAGAGATGGACATAGCAACGGTTCGAGGGCGATTTTTATTTTTTTCGAATTTAATGTGATTTTATTTTTATAATAATTTAATAAATTTTTTGTTATATATTTGAATTTAACTTGATCTGATATTATATAAAATCATATTTGATTTGATTCAATTCAACTTAAAATTAATAAAATATTATTTTTAATGTAAATATAAATTTAAATAACTATAAAAAATATATATATAAATATAAAATTAAATAAATAGATAATTTTTTTTTTTATATTTATCAAGTTGGATCGGAGTGAACCTAACCCAAAACTTGATTTACAAAAAATAAAAATTGACCTTATAAGATTAAATTGAATCTAAATTCGTTGAAAACGAATTGAATTATCATCGTTAAATAAGTTATTTATAAAAAGTTTAATTTTTATTTCAAATTTTTTATATTGTAAAGCTCATTATTGAGGTAGTTATTGGTTGTGAACATGCGAATTATTAACATATAAAAAAATATGAGAATGCTCCTTTTAAAATATATACGAGGCTGCTTAATCTTAGCTTGAAATTCCATTCTTCTCGTGATTAAAGGCAAATGAACAATTATTTTCTTTAAATAGTTTAAGTTAGGTTACAATCTAATTTTGAGGCATCCTTTTAAAGATATTTGTACAACTGTTATTATTAAGTTTATCTACTTTTTGACCTACTTAACTATACTTTTACGTCATCTCTTCTTCAGTGCTGCTAGAGTTATAAGGAAAAGAGATGCCTAACATTGATTCAAATTTCAAAAAAAAAATAAAATTGGTTCCACCATTATCATACACTTAAATGAGTGTGGTACCCAACTTATATAACATATTCAAAGCTCAACACAAAAAGGCTTCATTTCTGAAATGGGTTTCTATTCAAAAAATTGAGTTTGGAGCCAGAATGAAGAAAAGAGTCATAGCTTGAATGAAAAAAATAAAGTGTCAAATACACTTTCATAAATAAAAGGATCAATTTTATTCCCCTTGGTAGCTTTACTAAACCCTAAAACAGCTTGGAGATGAAGACTTTTTCTTTCCCTCTAAAGGGCTTTCAAATTACAAGCCAACATCAGCAGAGAGTTTGGTAGCCATTTAGGCAGGGGGAGCCTATCCAAAGTGAAGCAAATTGCAAAATCTTTCAGTTGGAACAACCGCATTAACCAAAGAGAGAGATGGGTATTATTAGGGGGAGTGAAAAAAGGGGGGGGGGGGGGGGGGGGCGGGGGGGGCGGGGGGGGGGGGGTGGGGGGGAGGGGAAGTGGTCCATTTATATGATATCTTCATTTCAACTACAATGGATAGATTATGTCCTTTGATTAATTTTTCATTCAACAAAAATGTCTCTTAAAACCCTAATCAGGTTTCTGTTTCATGAGGCAACACGAGATCATCAGATTTGTGAGCTATCCCTGTGATATTAAGATCCGGCGGCTACAATTACCAAAAAAACCCCTGGCTCCCCTGCCATCCTAGTATTCCATTTTGTTAGTTGCCCCAGAGACAAAACATCCTTTTCCGTTATCTTTGTGTACGTCACAAATTCACAATTGGTTGTCAAGAGCCAACCAGTTTTTCTAAGAATTTTCATTTAATTTTTTTTAAAAAAAGCTATTTTTTATATAAAAAAAGTTACAGTTTGATGATAAAAAAATTATAAATATTAAAATTTAAATTCAAATTTAAAGGAAAAGGCAAATTAATTCAACTAAATTTTACATTCAAAGCATTGTAATCCATGCATTAAAACTAAAATGACATTTTATAAAGTAAAATACATAGTATCAATTGACATTCAATTCAAAAAAACCAAAAAAATTACTCCGACTTTATTTTCATCGAACCCTGTTGAATTTCATTTACAATTCACAGGTTCCTTTTTTTGACCATTGAAAAGAAGATTTGACAAGTTTGATTTGGGTTAGGAAAAGAAGATTCCAGTTTTCAGATTTCGAAACCGAGAGGATTTGGATGAATGATAGACAAAATAGGAGCGTAAGCATCATGAAAGTGAATGTTACAACATGTTTTGAAAGGTTGAAAGCGTGTTTCTTTTTACATGCGAAATGGCCGTATGAAAAGGGTGGTTAAGTAACTTCAAGAACTGTCGAATGAAGTAATTTTGAAAGCTAAAAAACATAGCTGCTGTGTCGTAGGAAGTAAAAAAACCATAATTGAAGGGTAGGCATCATGGATAGATCCGTCATCCGTCGCCTACACGACTCCCTATCGCCTTACTTTATCATTATTTTCAAACAAAGATTATTAAACCCTTTTAACTGTCTGCTTAAAATCAGGAGAGATTAGAGAAGTTTAAAATTTTGAAAAAAAAATAAAATTGGAAAAGCTGGGATTTGGGAAGGTCTGAAATAGTTTTAGGGGTGAAGAAAAGGCTCTCCCAATCATGTATTTGAGTAAGCCGCGGTAATCATGACCAGTTTTACTCAACACCTATAAGAACACAAAGCTTCTCACTTTTTCTCTCACAGAATAAGAAAAGAAAAAAAAAACCCCACGCCAAATTTCTCTGCATTTTTTGTTTTTTTGCTGCCATTTTGCCCCACTGAAGTAGACATGGTTGCAACCTTATGGCTGGAGCTTTCACCCACCAAGAACAAATAGACTCCACCCAACAACAGCATTACCAGTTCAAGCTTTGTTTCCCTGTACCAAAGCTAAATGCTAAAAGCTTTTGGGTTTCAAAATCTGTTAGAAGCTTATGCTACAAAGCTATAGAGCCAAATGGATGTTGCTCACAGAGGTTAGAGCATAGTGGTACTGGTATGATAGTTAACAACTCTGTTTTTTGTGCTTCAGCTGGTCTTTTTGAAGAAAAGAAACCTGAAATGGAGGGTTTGGTTGACGAAAACGAAAGCTTTGAAAAGAGAAATGGGAGCTTTGGTGAAAAAGGGATTCAAACGGGGACATTTGCTGAGTTGCTTGAAGTGAAGGTTCCTGAAAGTAGTTCAAGTTCTGATTTTATGACTTCAGAAACAACAGGGCACGAGGAGGAACACAGTCATAGTAGTTCTGAGGAGGATTCAGTTTCACCACCTTCATTGGGTTGGCCTTTAGCGGAAAATGCTGAGACAGACTGCACCAGTACTACTTGTAGTGAAGTTGGAAAGAAACCCCCCTTGGATGACAGGAAATTAGAGAAACAAGGCTCCACAGTTTCAGGTATTATTGACTATCATATGAACATGTCTCTCATTTTCCTTGCTTGAATCATTTAGTTGATGTGTTTGTTTACTGGGGTTATAGAGGTTGAGTTGATGAAGGAAAGATTTGCAAAATTGCTTCTTGGAGAAGATATGTCAGGGTGTGGAAATGGTGTTTGCACTGCCTTGGCTATTTCAAATGCCATCACCAATCTTTGTGGTATGTTGACAAGCTCTTTTCTTTTTCTTTAATATAGTTTATATCAATTTGATTTGCCTATATGGGCATTTGTTTCTGATTTGTGTTGGTTATTGCTTTTGCTTTTTGTTTGATGGCTATTTCTCCTTCATTGCTTCAATTTTGCAGCCACCTTATTTGGGCAAATATGGAGGCTAGAGCCACTGCCACCTGAGAAGACAGCAATGTGGCGGAGAGAGATGGAATGGCTTCTTTCTGTTAGTGATCAAATTGTTGAGTTGATACCCTCTTGGCAGACATTCCCCGATGGAAGCAAGCTTGAGGTAAAGCTATCTAAACTTTTCAGATAAACATCTCCCAGGCACACTAGGGCAGTTTTTGAATTCTAGCGTACAATTTGTATCCAGTGGTGGATTTGTAGTTTAAATTCCATGTCTAGTTTATGAAGCAATTCAAATGCCATTGGAGATGAGTTTTACCACTATATGGCTAACTATATCAAAATCTTATTTAAATTATTTTCCGTTTTCCATGGCTCTTTCTTGCTGTGATTTCAGGTAATGACCAGCAGGCCCCGATCGGATCTTTACATTAATCTCCCAGCTTTAAGAAAGTTGGACAACATGCTTCTTGTATGATCCACTGACTCTCATTACAATCAGGGCATGGTTCCGTGGGGAGAGTTTATTTTTAATGTAACATCATTTTTTGCAGGAAATATTAGATAGTTTTGTTGATACAGACTTCTGGTATGTTGACCAAGGGATTCTAGCCCCAGAGGCTGATGGATCAACCCCTTTTCGTAAAGCCCTTCAGCGCCAAGAGGAAAAATGGTGGCTGCCTGTGCCTCGAGTGCCTCCAGGAGGCCTCCATGAAAATTCAAGAAAGCAGTTGCAACATAAACGTGACTGCACAAACCAGATCCTCAAAGCTGCCATGGCTATCAACGGTATTACTCTAGCTGACATGGAAGTCCCTGAATCATATTTGGAATCTCTTCCAAAGGTAAAAACCCGTAAAAATATTTTGCCATTATGCTTTCTAGGAAGTTTTGGTTGTTAAATTTTTGCTAAAAATTTGTTTCAGAATGGCCGAGTCAGTTTAGGAGATATCATTTATCGCTACATTTCATCGGATCTGTTTACACCTGAATGTCTTCTTGATTGCCTTGATTTGTCCTCTGAGCATCAAGCTATAGAGATTGCCAACCGAGTGGAGGCCTCAATATATTTGTGGCGCAAAAAGACCAACTCCAAACCTGTCAACAACACAACCCGGTCCAATTCAAAGTCGTCATGGGAATTGGTCAAGGACCTGATGGCTGATGTTGACAAGAGAGAAATACTTGCAGATAGAGCAGAGAGCCTCCTGCTTTGCTTGAAGCAGCGGTTCCCTGGTCTTCCCCAGACCACTTTAGATATGACCAAAATTCAGTACAACAAGGTTTGTGTCAATAATTCCAATTTGAGATTTGTTCTTAAAGGTGCTTTTAATTGCAAAAGTCATGCTAATAAATAAATATTACGGTGTTAATTAGGATGTTGGGAAATCCATTCTGGAAAGCTACTCAAGAGTTTTGGAGAGCTTGGCCTTTAACATTGTTGCACGTATTGATGATCTGCTCTATGTGGATGATTTGACCAAGCATTCTGATCAATTCTCTTCACTATCCAGAGTTGGTGTAATTGGTCAGAAGAGTCTTTCAATTCCATACTCAGTGCCCGTTTCAAGCACTCCTTATCTAACAGCATTTACCACCCCAAACTTTTCACCAGCACAGCTAGTTAGCCCTGCTAAGGGAGAAAGATCACCGCTTCTGACAAGCAGCCAAATTCCACAGCGTGGGATGGGTGTGAAAAAGGTCTTGACAGATTATCTTAGTATTGATTTAAGAGGGAAGGAATATAGTAAACCAAATGAAGGAACAGTATCAGTATCCCAAGAAACATCAGCATCTTTTGAATGTCTAAAAGAGGAAGTAAGCCTACCAAAACAGGAGTCAGCTCCAGATAAAGAGCCCTGAGGTTGTACACCATGAACCAATTTCCCAAGACAGCAGTCACCTGGCCCTTTTTTTTTTCTTTTTTCTTTTTTATTTGTAGAAATAGGAAGATGTTTGAGGATGTTGAACAGTCACCCTGTTATTTAAATTGTGTCGTCGGTAGATGTCTATAAACGATAATGAGTTGAGTGGTTCATGCTTCTCAGGGCATCATTTATTGCCTTAAACTTGTTCCTGGCAGAACATTTTGTGGATTAAACGTAGAATAGAAATGCCAAACTACCTGTTACTTGTCTATATAAACTTCAAAAGAAACTTGAAAGGTTGATGTTCAGACCTCAGTGTCTGTAATGACATCCAGAAGTTTCGCTATATCTAGTTATCTACTTCGGATGACTATACTTTTGTTCAAAAGGTCATTCTTCTTGTTTGTTAGATTGATTGCGGACTTGGGGGTTTGTGTTGCAGATTATCCATTTCTGGTTCTGGTTTCTTAAATCAAAGCGCTGCAAAATTGTCTGATCTTCTAGTGCCACCTACATTACCATTAGTGGGCCGGAGATAGAATTACATTTTATGCTCAAGTTACAGTATAAATACCCCATCAGAAGAGGGGGTGCTGCATTCAGGATCGGGGTCAGCGGAGGGTTCTGGCATTTTGAGATAGAGAAATGGCAGCTGCATTGAAATTCATCTATCTTCTGGGGTTGATTGTGATTGTCAGAATTGTGGGACTAGAAAGGGTTGATGCTGCAGGGAAATGTGGAAACTCATCTCCTGATAAAGAGGCAATGAATGCTAGTCCCATGTGCTGAAGCAGCAAAAGACGAGAAAGCTGATGTCTCTGCTAGTTGCTGCGCCCAAGTGAGGAAAATAGGCCAAAGTCCAAGCTGTCTGCCGTGAGCCAACCTAGTACAAGGTCATTACTGGACGTAAGATGTCTCGAGTCAACTTTATACAGGGTTATAATCGGGTAGAACTGTTAGGTGGCAGAGTAAATCTCTGTGTTAGGAAAAAATATTTTCCTTTTTGTAAAGAGTTTTGGTAGTATAATTATAAAATTTTTAAAGCTCTTTAAAGAGGATGAACATTTGACGTGTTGTTGAGTTATTTTATTGGTTAAAATATATGCTAAATTATTTATTTAATGTTGCCTTTTTAATTTCGAAGAGAGTGAAAAGATTTGATATTTATTTTGTATTTATTATATTATTATCGATATTAATAAAATATATTTTTTTTAAATTATCAATAATTGTCTTGATATATCTTTTTATATTTTTGATATTAACTTATAATTTATTAATTGTCTATTCATATATCCAATTATTTTTGTCTGACTTGTGTGAAACGTCCATTTAAATGATTTATTGCTTCAACGAGAGAAATAGTCCGTAACACTGTCCCTGTCTCTGTAGCGTTATGCTCTCTATCACTTCTTAATCATCCAGAATTAAGCCTGAAATTGACAAAACAATCCCTAAACGCTGCAACATAGCCAACCTTGCAGTCGGTTACACGTGTTGAGGTGAGTCATGATTTCATTGCTCCATCTAAATCATCCAGAATTAAGCCTGAAATTGACATAACAATCCCTAAACGCTGCAACATAGCCAACCGAGCAGTCGGTTACACGTGTTGAGGTGAGTCATGCTTTCACTGCTCCATCTTATATATATATATATATATATATGTATATATATATATTACAATTGCTTGTTTGCAGCTTATGCACTTCCTTGAAGGCAGAATTTTGGAGGCTCACATTGAGATAAAAGTGCTGGAGTTCACTTGTCATAGTAGTGACCACGTAGCTTAAGCTTGCCTTTGTACGAATAAAAGCTTTCAGCTTGTTTATATGCATCTTGAGTAACAATAGAAGAAAATCATGTATGTTTCTGTTTTTTGCTAGCTTTTGATTGCATTACCCTTTGAAATATCAATTCAGAAAACCAATAGAGAAGCAACAAAACTGATTCCAAAGGTATGATTCATTTGACAATGGTTAACAGTTAAAAAAAAATGTTTCCACAATCATGAAGACAACCATTGATAATGTAACATCAAAATCCTAATCAACTTTGACAAAATTGTGGTTGCAGAATATTTGTCCTCACCCTTTAAGTCCTCTTTAACGACCATAACTTCTTTAACAACCAATTGTAAAGCATTTGTCCGAATCAACTGAGACAGAGACAGCTTTAGTCTGTGGGTCACAATTTTGGATAGACAATAACTTAAATAAAGATCTTAGGCTCTGATAAAAAAAATTAAATAAAAAAGAAAGGACAGTTTGGAGACTAACTGTTGGATGGATTAATACTTGCAAGATAATTGTGGTAGCTGGGCCACACCCAATTGAAGGTTGGTTTAACTGTTTATGGTGTGTGGCATCCTTGGAGGGAATCTGAGTCATGAAGTGAGTAAGGTGATGGTGCTTTCAGGTATCTCAAAGACAAAGAGCGTTTGACTATTTAAAGGAAATATATGTACTCTCAGATTCATTTCTATGACTTGTTTAAAGCGATCTGAAGGCTAATCATTCATATTTCCCACAAAACAAGACAGTTGAAAATGAAAACCAAAATGTCACATTGATTAAATTCCGTCCTCTTGTTAAAAGCAAAATGGAGATAAAAATGCAGAGAAGAGTTCTGCCATTGATACCAGAGAGTTAAAGCAGAAATATATCAAGTCACTTAAGCAGATATTCTTACAGAAAAAAAAAGAGCAAGTGTCATCATCCTTCATAGTGAAGAAAGGAGACCAAATAACTATATTTGCTTGGCTGGAGAAAGAAATAACCGCCAGCTGTCTGCAACGTCTGACTACTGTAATAAACCTCCCATATAACCAGAGATAGATTAAGCTGCTAGCTTTATCTTCCTACATACCAGCTAAGGGCAAAGTCAACGAATCAGAAAAGCAATGAAAAAAAAAGAAATATGATGAGTAAGTAACTCAAACGCCATTTGAACATGTTTTTCATTCATGTTATTTCTGTTTTTTGTCTCTGTATCTTGGCTTCTTCTAAGGACAAGAAAGAGAAGGAGGGTTGTAGGATGAGAAATTAATTGATTGATCAAACTTGAAGAAAAATGAAAAGAGAAAGGAGAATGAACATGGAATCCACTCATTGCATTGGTCAGATCATAGTTTCCATGATAAAACCATATTATTCAGTCCTTATACCTTAAATCAATTTACTTTTACAGGTATATCTTAGAATTTGCTTCTAGCAATTAAAATGATCAGCCTAAATACTTCAAACTGGAACAGGGTGACAAAATGCAGTTAAATATCAGTTTACTCCAGTAGTAATTGTAGATAAATTCAAGCCAGATCTAACACTCCCAGCTTACTGGTCCTCGAAGAGAACTGATAGAGATTTTGTTCAGGTTTAAAAGGTCTCAGCTGTTAGGTGATCATTAGCAAAGAAGATCAGATGTAATGCAGAACCAAGAAGATTCATATATAATTCCAGTGAAAATCTGACTACAGGTACCTTGATAAGTATGTTGATTGGCAAGTAAACTCTTAGTAATAGAGAGACCCTACAAAAAGAAAATTTAGAAATAACAAAGATATCAACCTTACAGTTAAAAAGTTATCCAAAAAGCTCCTCATTATTATAGCCGATAGGACAGTCACACTATCATACCTTGCCACCAGTTTCCTCTTGATGCACTCCCAGAATCATCTTCTCCACCATTCTTCTTGTACTAGAGAGTTATGAAAATATGTTAACAGATTCCTAAATCAAAAGACCGATCAAACTATAAAACTATAAAGTAACTAGATACAACTTGATGCACTCACCACAGAGTTTAATCCAGAGCCCTGGCTACTCTGGGGATGAAAGTATACATCTTGGCCGCCATAGTAGATGGATGAACTTAGATGACATGGTTGTACTTTTTGCTCCTGATAAATGGAACTCGCGTCTCTATTGTCTATGCTGTGATTTTCACCTTCACGTCCTTTGGAAGAATTACCTGACAAGACTAGGTCGATTATAGAGTTTTCAGACACAAAATTGAGAATTCAAGAACTACCTAGTGCATCACTTAAGAAATTAATTTGTAAAACCAGCAAAGCCAGAATTATCTCTACCACTTTCTCTCTAAACAAGCTTATAAATAATAATAATAAAAAATGTAGAAATGAGATAGAATCTTGAGCTATAAGCAATTGTGGGCAACTGCTTTAGTTCACTCTTATAAATCCCAAGAATGCTACAGATGAATCAGTAAGCGTTATTGAACAGATAAAACTACTAAACTAGAGGTGTATAGTCCTAAGAACATTTAACTTAAATATAAAAACCTCACTTCAGGACTGAATAAAAAGATTAGTCGTGTTTTGGTCTAATGTACAACAAAACAAGCAATATATGATTTCAACCAACCAGTGACAAATCAATTACCATAGAGTCAAAATGACTCTTCCAATAGAAGGAATTTCAACAAAAAGGAAAAGAAAATAACACAATTGAAAAATCTTTTTTCCTATGATTTGCGCAATAATAGACTCAAAATCTTGTGTTTATTTATAGAAAACAAAAATATAAGTATGATTTAATATAAAATCCTGTAAAAGCTATAACTGATGCACAAACCAGGGGCTCCAGCCTTTGTGATCCAGGGCTCATTCTGAGAATCCTGCCTTTTGGCCATCACATCAGAACGCAGAGACTCCCTTCCTAACACCTAAACCAACACCAGCCAGGAGAAATTAAAACTGGAAAACTTACCAAATTTCTAAAAAGATTGAGACAAAAGAGAGCATAAAGAGACAATTAGCCTTAAAAGAGAACTTGCATGCCATGCAGATATTTGCAAATGAGAGACAGGGCCAAAAGCATATAAAATAGATTTCAAAAGAAGAAACCAGAGAAAAAAAAAACCAATAACAAGAAAGAATGTCAAGTCTTAAGCTTTTCAAAATTCAATCATTCCATCACTGCCTGACACAATCTCAATCTTGTAATTGGCAAAGAACGCTTCAATCAATTTCATAATGCTCAGTAAAAGAAACATTCCATTAAAAAACAAACAACTTTAAAACAATAGTCTTTTAAATAGTCTCAAATTACCCAATTGAAAGAAAAAAAAAGATTCAGTCTTTGAAACTCCATGTGACAAAAACATTGAACACCAAAGAAACAAAAGAGAACTCAAACCCTAAAAAAGCAAAATGAAAAACTAAAATGATGTATAAAAAGGGATTAAAACGAAAAAAAAAATCATCAAACACGATAACAATACCTTAGATGGAGGAGCAAATATAGACCCGAAAATCCCTGTGGAAGATGAAGGTGACTCTTTTGAACCAAAGAGCTCTGAAGTAAAGGAAGAAGAGGACGACCCCACTCCTTTCTTTCCTTCCATTTTCTCAGCAAATTAGACTTCTCTTCTCTCTTTTATCAATCTTAAGTTAACAACAATCTCAGTTCAGTCTCCAACAAAATGAGATATATAGTTATATATATATATATCTATCAAGAGAAAGGAAAGAAACAAACGGAAAGAGAAAGAAGAGAAGAAAAAGAAAGGAAAACAGCGAGGAGAGCAAAAACAGTACGCAACAGAAAGGAGTAAAAAAGACAGAAGAGAAAACACGTGAAGATTGCGCTATGTTCAAGTGAGAAACGAAACCGTCTCTCTCCCACCGACTTATTCTAAAATAAACAATGGCTCGCGCTCTATGTCCTATGCCCTACGACTTGATTTAAAAAGAAAAAAAAAAGAAAAGAAAATCATCGAAATAACTCTCTTTTGATTCTTACGACCAGAGGAAGTTTTCGTAGTCTGTCACCGACGATCTGTCACCTTAGGTCTTATGTTTCCATTTCAGTTTTATCGACCTTTTGCTTTGTTGACAGGCAGACAGATTTATGCCACGTAGAGTAGCATGTGTATAGGTCGGCCCTGGATCCAAGTCCCAACCTATTATTGCCACGAGTACCCTAGTGGATAATAACAGTTCCCCAAGCAATATCCTTTCCAGAGGCTTGAAGACACAGCGGAGAGAAAAGAGACAAATAGGAATTCATGTGGAAGGGGCCAGCGATTGATGGAGTCGCCACTGTGGGTCGCCGCATGGTTTACATGTATCCAATTTTTGGTCACATGGAGTGTCGTCATCCTAGAATCTGTCAGGTTCTCAAGGATCCTACTCATTTGCTTCTTCCTCCCTCTTTTTTCTCAAGGATCCTTGATTTCTGTGGTTATTGCTGGTGAAATAAAAGATGAAGATCTTCCTTAATTCCTTTCCTTTTCTCTCTTCTACTATTTACTACTAACTTTGTTTCTTTACCTTTCATGTTACCAAATTATTCATCATCCCACAAAAGGTTTCTAAACAATGGGTATAAATGTATTATTGATTTCAGGTTTCATCCTGATTAAGAGAAGAGAACCCTGAAATCTCTGGAGTTATTAATTAAACTTCTGATCTGAAAAAATATTATGGTGAAATCGTGTGGATGGAAGTGCAACACCTACTCAAGTGTGGCATAGGATAGAAGAGCAGCACAATCACAAAACGGCAAGCTAAAGCCAAAGCTTATTCTTCTGAGGATAAGAACAAAAAAAAAAAAAGAGGGGGGGGGGGTCAAAGAAAAACGGATAGTAAACACGATAAGAGCATGCCATTGATGTCCCTATTTGGCAAGTGCCGACGAGGGATTCAACGAGACTCCCATGTGCCTACTGCTCACTGCCTCCTTTGCTACGTTCCAATTCTTGGGTTTTGTTTTGCCTACACAAAGGAAAAGTATTTTTTTTAGGCCCAATTTTCGCCTTTTCAGTGGAGAAGACAGAATAGGCTAGCCCAAGAGGCTCAAATTTTGAGAGGCATAGCAGGCCAAATTTTGGTCAGGCTTAACTTAAATCCACAACTTCCTGTTGAATTGTTTAAAACTAAAATCCAAAACTTTGGGGCCAAGGAAACAGTCACGTTTCTTTTTTTAACAATCTTAAGAATTTAAATCCTTCTAACTCTTTAAAGTCTAAATAAATCAATTCTACTAATTGTAATTGTGATCGATTCATAATATAATTGAATTTTCTTTTCTTAAGTGAATAACTACATTGCATTATCTAAACCCTTAAACTTTCCTTATCTTTAGAATTTCTTTTGTAAAAACAACCAAAACTTTTTTTATACTAATCTCTTTTTTGGCCAAATTATTTAAAAAAAATTGGTTTAACTCTCCTAGGGGCATTGACTTTTAAATTTAAATGAGAATTAACTCTGTGAACTTTGATCTTTAAATTTTAATAATCATGATTCAAATCATGATAATTTAAATAAATTTTTTTTTGTTTTTTTTAATAAAAGTCATTTTCATTGACCGAGCAAACGACCAATGCCCAAGTCTTTGTTTTTTGTTTTTTCTTTCCACACCTTATAAAATAAGTACCGTATATTGGAACTTTGATGGTAAAGGGAGAAATAAATAAACAAATACTTACTCTCTGACTTATTGATCACCACCCACAGCCCCTCAGTCAATGCATAAGAATAGCGTTTGCTTTATCTCAGAAAGACTTCCCAAGTCAATGGTTTTATAATTTGGTCTGATTCTTGAGTGTTTGCCAGCCAGCCACCGAGGCTTTGCTATTAAATGATTGCATCAATCTTGGTGTACAAATACGCGTATTTGCCTTTGATTTTGCAGGTTTCGGATTTATATTGCCAATCTTTTGACTAATACTCTTCATTTGCTTGAAGATGATATATGGTTTCCCTAAATTGTTTATTAGGTATTTCGGATGGTTCCTTTTCCTAGTAATTTTAACATCTCTCAGTTGCTTAAAGGACCTAGAAGAACAAACAGTGTGAATTGCGTATTCTAAGTGAAGTTCTTGAAGAAAATATTGATCACTATTGTAAGCTGCTAGATATAAGAAAATCAGAACGAAGGGTTTTAAGCTTCAATAGCTTCAGGACAAGAATTTGAACCTGAAATCAATCCCTCACAAGGAAGCAATAAGTGGGCGAATATGATCCAATATTTTGGAATTTTGGACTTCCATTAGTGTAGATATATACATACAACCCAAAAGGTGAACAAAGAGAAGTAAAAATTAGCCAAAACCCTAAGTTAGTTTCCAAGGTAGGCACTTGAGCTGAGAGCAGGGCTGGGTCCAAGTACTGGAGCATTCACCTCCAATTCCATCGCAACATTTGCAAACAACTCCAAGAGTAGCAAAAATCTTCGAGTATCCTACAAATTATATAAAGAACAACCCCATCAGCCAACTGAGAGTAAAACAATAAGCAGCAATCACTAAAAGCTCAAGCAATAATCAAACAGATTCTCACTTTGTTGATCAGGCAGGATGGAAAGTGGCCTTCCCGCCGAAGCCAGGGGCACCTGGGATGGAGAAACTGAGATTACAAGCAGCATCAGGAGCAGAAAACCCTGGAATTTATCCATCTTCCCGTCTCTCGAATGAGGCCTTCGCAATATCGCCTCCTAGACAGGATATCAGAAGGACCAAATATAAAGAAATGAAAAACCAATGATGGGTTTAATTGAATAGGAGTCAGGAGTCACATCATGTATCGTTAATCTAGAAAGGTGGCTGTATTTTTCTGTTTGAACTAAAGTGCACGGATTGAAAGTGGAGGAGTGCTTCTACAAACAAAATTAAAGAGACGTGCGACACGTTTCCAACTTGTTTACGTTTCTAAAGAAAGAGGGGAGGGGGGTGGGGCAACTGGCAAAAGGCCAATATTAAAGAACTTGGTCGAAACTTCCTTTGTCAAGTCCGTGGGCACATGTGGGATCGACGAACCCTACCCTACTTGTACTACGAGACAAGACAAAAAGTGAATGCTTTTGAGGTTGAGCATTTCAAGTATCACACCACACTGGCCCATAACGGGGATCGAAATGGACCAGACCTGAGTTAAATTGCCCAACGTTGAATTTTGTAGCAGAGGGTCACTCACGTTCTACAACGTCAACATATAGATAAGCGATTTGGGGATTTATGGCTAGACTTTTAAGTTTTTTGGTCTGCGCCAATAAACTTGTTCAATGTAAAAGCCAATGAAAATGTTTCCCTTTCTTTGTTCGATTAGCGGATAAGAAATTCGAGGATGAGGAATATGATTTTCAAAAATATTTTGGAATATCTTTTAATATTATGAATTTATCAAAAAATTAATTTGATCCAAAACTTACTATTATTTACATATCTTGCAGTTTTCACATAGTCAAGCAGCTGAACCACGTCAAAAATGATGAAGGGGAAGACCTGATTTTAAGTTTTGGTGGTGATGATAATGATTTATGAACGAGTTTTTATCACTTCAATCTGAATAAGCATGCGTAGTATTTACTTTATAAGTAACTTGGATCAGAAGAGTGGAAAACAGAGAAGGGGGAGACGAGGGATGCTTTTGATTTGGTTTAAGCCCATATGGAATTCTTCCAACCACTTACGCAATCATATCAATTGATAACTGATTGACTCTTGACTGTAAGGAGTTTTAGTGGATGCATCTTTATTAATTTCTTTTTACTACTTTATTTATTTTAAATTTTAAATGAACGATCCGTTGCTTATAGAAATGTAATCTATTCTCAAGATCAGGATAAAGTTTCCTATATTATAATGTAAATAAAAGAAGGTAACTTTTTTTTTTATTATATCATAAAAATAAAGTTTTAATATAAATAAAAAAAAATTGATTCGAAATCAGTCTTGATGTCCAATGTTTTTTAACCACTAAGTTAAAACTTGAAAATTAAAAAAGATAATTACTAATTGATACCTAGCGAATTTTTTATGTTCAAAAAATCTGGGCGGTGAAATTCTCTACAAGAGATTTAAGATAGAAATATAAAGAAATTGAAATTGTAACAGTGGTGGGCGTGCCGGAGTGGTTATCGGGCATGACTAGAAATCATGTGGGCTCCGCCCGCGCAGGTTCGAATCCTGCCGCTCACGTTTTACTTAATTTTGCCTTTTGTAATTTTGCCTTGGTAGTAAATTACAAACTCTAAAATCGTCATCAAGGGCTCAACTCCCTTCATTAATCAAAATAATGGTCCAGGCCTGTTAGCAAGAAGCCAACAACCTCCAGCTTCAGTGAGAGAGAGATTTAATTCGGATAATAACTTGCAATTTATTTTCTATTTGTAATATTCTTTACATTTTTTTAAAAAGGTGGCATTCACAATACCACCTATTTGTATGCATACAATTCAATTAGTGATTTCGGTTGTAATTTGATTAGTCTCTGATTTGTGTCTTCCAGTTGCTCTTCTATAGCAAAAAACTGCCATCAGGAAAGTTGTGGCAAGACCTCCAAGGATCACACCACCCCCGGCAACAGACTTGTCCATGGAATGATGATGTGTTTGTAGGTTGATGGCCTGTCCTTCAACACTCACGTTTTCTCCATTGTCTGGTTCAATAGTGGCTGCAGTGTGATCTGTTGAGGGGCTTCCTCCAGTAAGGTGAATGTTCTTTTGAGTTTGGGGCGCTTGGAATGGGCTAGAAGCTGGTGTACTGCCGAAGGTATTGACTACTTTGGGCTGGTGCCTTCCAAGTTTCCTAATGTTGGGTGCTTCAGCTTTGTATGGTTTTTCATTGCTGTATGGAGCAGAGGCTGGGGGATGTTGGAGATCAGCAAAACTAGAGCGGAGCTTGCTGAGAGCATTTTCACTAGCCATGGCCACGAAAGCATGTACCAAGATCAAGCAAAGAAGAAAACATTGAGCCATTATTGAATCAAATTGGATGATGGGTTATTAAATATGCTTTTGTCGTCTGATTTTATGGGTCTGCTTTCTGTCATTGCGAGGGAGGTTTGGGTATATATACAGAAGAAACTGCTATAAACGCATCCCATAAGCATGGGGTGTGATGGAAGTTTCCCCTGCTGGATTCCAAGCATAATTTATTACAATTTCTTAAATCTGTTTTTATGGAGTTGTCTGTTGAGTGGGGGAAATTCTGGGAGATACACGTGCATGCATTAGGATATTAGAAATGCAAAACTAAGACTTCAATCAAGGGAACAAGATCTTTAATATGTTTATTTGCAAAGTTTTGTTAACCAGTATGATTGAGTTAATCACAGTGACCACCGTTCAAATCCTTGTTGCCTTAAGTATTAAAAAACACACCAACGGATCCAATTTTTAGAAGTGGAAAGCTGCAAAAAAGAACTATACAAAAGCCAGCATTTGGGAAATCAATAAGGACATAATACTCATGAAACTTCCACCCTCGCGTGGTGGAGAAAAAGGAGTTATGGAAGAGGCCGTTGCAGCTTGCGAGGAGCCGAGGACACCTTGCATCACTCTCAAAGCCAAAAGCAAGCATTGTCTTATAAAGTGGAGGACATTTTGAATTCCATCTCCGATTCTCCATCTTACCTTTTGCAACGTTATCTTAAGCCGAGGGTGATGTTCCTTAAACATGTCTGATGATGTTCTTCAAATGCAGGCATGTCCATTCGGGCATTGTCCTGAAGATGTCTTTGATTACAGGGCTTCTAACAAGTAAAAACATGGTGTAAAATTGAAGAATTAGCAGAAACATATCCTGTCTGGAAACATTCGAATTTCATAATCCACTGCTTGAGATTTTCAACAGATTACCATAAAGCCACAAGATGATTGCAACCAATTCAAAAACTACATGAAGTTTTGCCCAAACATGTCTATGCCAATCAACCAACTACACTTACCTACGGGTACAATAATAATATGGTTGATTCCATGATATGGGAGTGGCATACAATGACACAGGAATAAACATACTATGTCGGTAGTGTTATAGCAGGGAATCATTTCAGAAAAAAAAGGACCATTAATTTCACCTTGGAACTTGCAGTTTACATTTGCGGTAGATGCTCCAAAAACTTGAGACATTAGGGGGGAACACATAATTCATTAGCTAGCAAGCTGTTGTTACATCAATAAATTAGCAGTACCAAAGAAGGGAATAAAAATATTATAGATGCTGTTAGCATAGGAAACAACTGGGGATTGAAACATCTTGGAGAGAAGACCGAGCAGAGTTTTTATTTATTTGAATAAGTTCCTGTCAGCTTACTGTCTTTATGAATTATTATAAGCATGAGCTTGAATTTGGTTGCTAAACCATAATTAACCCAAAATTGTTTTCTGGAGATCTCGTGCCAGCTCATGGCAGCGTGAGGTGAACTATGATCTGGTTTTCCACTTGTCTCGGATCCAGATTAATGAAACACAGCTCAATCCGTACAAGATACAGCAGACATCAAAGAACAATTATAAGATTGAAGTTCAATTTTTAAATGTTTCAAAGGTTAAGAATATGTTTTTCCTTCCTTGATTGGCAAGAGAATAATCCAGGATCAACTGATCTATCCCAATTCCCGACCATCCTCCACAAGTTTGGCTGAAACACAATGTTGAAATTAGACATTCTTAGACAAAATAAAGAGGACTCATCAACCCTCATGTAATTTCTTAGAACATAATCAGCGTAAAACATACTACAGTCTAAACTGTAAGTTTGACACGTAAAGGATCCCTATATCTCAAACACCCAGAAACAAAATGATTACTGGCTCCAAATCAAAGAAAAAAAGGCTGTAACCTCTTTTTAAACAGTAGTATTTTGCTGCGGATGAAAAACAGTAAAAAAAAACCCATGCACCAGCCGGGAATCGAACCCGGGTCTGTACCGTGGCAGGGTACTATTCTACCACTAGACCACTGGTGCGATATGAAACTCACCGGCCTAATAATAATATAACAACATGAAAGTCAATGGCCTATTCGCTCCTCTCCTCGATGACACGTATAATCCCTACTCACGCCAAAAGACCCAAAACCAAGCTCCACCTTCTACCAGGCTTCATGGAGTCTTTGACAGTATCTTCCCAGATTCTCTTCAATCCCTTCAAGGCCAAAAAACCAGTCTTTTTTCTTTCTCCAAATATAATGTCGATCTCAATCCTGAAAATGCCACTCTCAAGCCTGGCTTCATCCAAAGCCTCTCCTTCTGAAAATCCTTCCTTTTCCCTGTTCCTCCACACTAAATTCTCCAGTCTCTCTCCACACTCCAACAGCACCCAAAACCGTAATCCGCATGGGAGATGGCCCCAGAACTTACCCAGGTGGAGTCTCCAAATGGAAATGGAAACGCATTCAAGCCAAGCAACTCCTCGAAGCCCGACTTTACCGTGAACTTCACATCTATGAAATGCACAAAAGAGCGGAGCTCAAAGCCGCCGTCTCCGAACTGAACGTCCTTGGAAAGTCGTTGAAAAAGCACCCAACTTGTTCTCTGTTGCAGCTGATGAGCAAGTTAAAGTATTGGCTGACAGATTTCAGAGACGTGGTGGTTTCGATATGTGGAGTGACAAAGATCGGCCCCGGCGATTTGAAAATACTGATGGGTTGGTTTTTTCCTAAAGGGGTTGTTCATAGTGTTAAACCATATTTGAGAAGTAGAGAGAGTGATGAAAATACTAAAGCTTTTGAGTGAAAATAATAAAGAGGAGACTGAGAGTGAAGATGGTATTTGAGAGAGAAATGGGAAAAGGATCGGTGTTAAATGGAGGAGGAAAGGAATTAGAAGAAGGTGTGATGCTGCTGGGGAGGGTAATTCTGATGGGAAGACAAGTAATTTGAAGTCTGAGGTTTATGGTAAAAGAAGTAACTTGAAGTCTGAGATTTATGATAAAAGAAGTAATTTCAAGTCCGAGGTTTATGATATGAGCTTGCAAAGAGATTGAAGTTATAGGGTTAATAAGAAAAAATGACTGAGACTGGTAAGATTCTGAAGGAGAGAAGGAAAAAAAAAGCTATGCGTTATTGGTAATGTTCTTCTTCCCAAATTGTCTCACTTCTCTTCTGAATGAAGTGCTTTTAAAGGTGTTGCAGTTTTTTGTGTTTGGTGGATGAGACAATATTGAATGTACATTAGTATAAATTGTATATTAAATTGAATGAATATAATTAGCTATTCAATTAGAGTTCCTTACTGTCTCTAGTTTTCTTTTGTATGCTGAAACTGATGGACTTGGCAAAGTGGCACTTGTTTGCAAATTTGGTCTTAGTTCAAGTATTTAGAGTAGATAAGTTCAAGCTGCTAAAAATTTTGGTTGAGTGCTTAGTTAGAACTGAAATGGACCTAATCTTTGAATTATCAACATTTTCACTTTAAACCATGTACAAGCTACCAATTTGGTTGCAATTTGTACTCACTCTTATTGCTTGACATAGTTGACTGGAATTGAGTCATACCAATGTTTCCTAGAGCTACATTTTAATCATCTAGAGGTTCAAATCTTGAGTAGGATTGTATGTGAAATCCCTCTTAAATTTCCAGCTGGGAATTGTGAAAGGACCTGATTGGAATAAAGGTTAAATTCCCTAACTTTTGCAAGTTGTAACAGTTTAGGGCTGCCTTGGCTAATAGCCAGCCCTTCCAAAAGTTCAGTGTGAACTCATTTTTGCAAACCGGCAAACATGGTTGAATTTATATCAGTTTACTGTAGACTATAGCAAATGTAATCATTTATTTGATAACTATAACATTGCCCTAGTTGAAAATGGGCAGGTGGAAATTATTATTATTATTATTATTATTTGCCACTTTCATTTTTTATCTACAGTAATTATTTTGGATTTGTATAAGCATTAGCCAAGATCTCATTGGGATCTTTCTGATTAAATCATGACGCATGCATGTTTTAGCTTGGTCAAGATCTTGTTGAGGCCTTACTATAAATAGCTAGTTCAGCCGGTGCAATGAACCATAACTAAAGGTTCAATGACCACAGCAAACTACTGTTTTCCTACCGGAGTTGTCTTTTACAACTATCATGAAATCCTTGAACTTTCAAGTTTGAACTGCATTAGCTACCAAGTCAATGTCACTTCTGGATTCAAACATTCTTGTTAAAACTTGAATGTATTTCTTCGTGAACTTTTTAAGCAATTTCTGGGACCATGAATGTCAAATAATATACATTGTTCTTGTGATATTGAAAGTGCTTTAGAAAACAAAACGAAAGGGTGACCTTTGATATTGCATTCGGAATCCAGTGGGTTAAAAAACAAAATTTGGTAGTGGCAGGTGGGGCAGTGTTCTTCTCTTGAAAATTTGAGGGACCTTACACATCTGATGGATCCATCTTCTGATTAAAGGCACTGTCGACTCATCAAGCAATTCCTATTTCTCTCTTTTCATGCCTTCTAGGTGATCAATGTCATATCTATTTAACAGCAAGAAGATTTAAAGTAGCAATCTTCTTTGTTTGGAGGAAATTAGCCAAACAAATCTTGAAAGAATTACAATTTGTTTACCTACATATACCCACTTGTTTGTCTTGATTGCCTGATGTGTTGTAAAAACTAAAGTAAATACGAATGTATTTTGGTTCCTATGGCAAAAAATCAAAATAATGGTACTTGTCATAATAAGATATATATATTACCGTCTGATTCTGATATATAGTTTGACTCTGATACATAAACATCACACGTTTGTTGCATGCGTACTTAGAATTAAAAAGTCAACAGGATTTGCAAACTGTGTTATGAATTTCATTATGAAATTCTGATCAACTTTCTTTTGTCAACAATCATAATCGTGTGGTTGGTTGAAAGAGCTCCCAATTAATCTCAAATAGTAAAAGAAAAAAAAATCATGATCAACAATATGAATAAAAAACAAAAATGACAATGTAATTCAATTGCCCGCCACCTTTCTTCTCAAAGATCACCTGTTAAAAAGTTGG